GACTAGACTTTTAGCTCGACTGGATCAAGACCCAAACGTCACACTCAGAACATTGACAGGTGAGTGTAAGCGTCTACAAAGCATCAGACACGACAACGAGTTGATTGAACAGGTAAATCCTAATTTAACCTGCGGTAGTGTAAATACTATTACTAGGTTAAAAGTTCAGAAGCCGGTAACAACTCGTAACAAACCAAGGACTGCATCCTGGTTATGTGGTGATTGGCATTTTGCACGATTCTGTCCGTTCAAGAAGCATAAATGTCAGGCGTGCAACAAACGTGGACATAAAGAAGGTCATTGTCCACCGAAGCGTACGTCTCAGCCTAAGAAGAAGCATAAACGTCCTCGACATGTGAAATCAGCCGAGTCCAAATCTTTTTCTTTGGTAGCTGCCTTTCAAACAAACTATGACATTCAGAGAAAGTATGTTATCATCCAGATAAACGGCATATCAGCTCGTCTTCAAATTGACACGGCATCAGATATCACGTTAGTGTCTAGAGAAACGTATAACTTGCTGGGTAAACCGCCAATGAAGCCATCTAAGAAAACGGCTAAAAACGCATCAGGTGGTGTGCTAAAACTGGTTGGTGAATTACAGTGTGAATTTTCCTTCAATGGAACTAACTGTACAGGAATATGTTACCTAACAGAACGGCCGAACCTTGATCTTCTTGGTCTAGATATGTTAGACAAACTTGGAATAATGGATGTACCAATTAACAGTGTCTGTAACGTATCGCGTTCATCATTGGACACCCCAGTACTTCCAAAGAAGACAGGTGATAGGTTACTAGGGAAACCGAAAAAAAAACGAACACATTTCGATGTCATCCGTCCTACGCCAGCTATTGAACCCCAACGAAACCTATCGATGGAGAATCAGTTTAACCGACATCATGGGGCACAAAGACGATTGTTCACGGTGGGACAAAAAGTACTTGCTATGGACTATCGTGGGAAACATCCTACATGGACAGCTGGTCGGATTTCGAAAAAGAAGGGGAGTGTGGTTTACGAGGTGTCAGTTGGCTCGGAAGTTTGGGTACGTCATGCTAAGCAATTGAAAGCAACTTCGATAGCCAGCAACAACATTCAATATCGATTACCTCTTGATGTTCTGCTAGACACCTTTGAAGTCAAAACACCGGGAATAGACACGTCAGTTTCTGTGCAAGAAAAGGGTGATACTTCTCTATTGCCTAGACGATGGACTAATCAAAAGCACAAGCCAGTCACTCAGTTGCAGTTGGACCCTAGCACCAGAGCCTACGAATCTGTTCAGAGGGGAGGTGTTAGCGGGACATAGACTAGATTAAAGCATGCTCAATGCATGATTGCTTTGGTGCACGCTGATTGGCTAATTCTTATCCGATCAGCACTAGTCGATAGTTGGAGAATACTCTGGAATCTTCTTATGTAAAAATAATAAATATACTGACGTTTTTCCCTATTGTGCTTCTGACTTGCTTCTTACTTCCATCTAACCTTGTTATTTGGAATATAATCTCTTCCTGTTCAACCGTGTTTTGATTTGGGGACTTGTCGAGTGAATCGGTGTCCGAGAATACTGAGCAATAGGAATAGCTGGGTCATAACCGTAAGAGAGAGATTTATAACAGCCTCATAAAGCTAAACTTGGTTTTCTGGTTGCATTGATTTTTATCTTTAATTTCTTTACCAACAAAACAGTATGATTTAAAAGATGAATTAAAATGTCAAGCTTTTCAGTGTTGTAGAAAATGGGTCTTTTTATCTTTCTTAGATTGTCAGGACTAATTTCATTTTGTGAAACGAATATGATCAGTGAAGGGTCAATAGTAAAAGTTTGAAACAGGAAAGACTGAACGCAACAAATTCATCATTACCATTTTTTTCATATAGCTGATTAGTAAGCCTTTAATATATAAGTATATTTGGAATTAACTGGATACATTCTAGGGTCCATCTCAAGATCGGATAATGGACGAAGGTTGGGAATGGGGTTAGCAACCCAGTCTCATAAAAAAGAACCTTGTCGGAAAAGCACCAACCAGAAGAAATAATTTAAACCTTATTTGATACCATATAAAGTTTATATATTAGGGATACGTAAATATCTAAATGAAAAAAGTTTTCATTTTCATTTGTCAGGTTGTTAAAATTACAGTGACTGCATAGTTTTTAACATAATACACTTAAAGCCATTTAATCAGTTTTGATTCTTAAGATAGTTAACCATAATAAATGATTGTTAGGAACTAGAATGAAACCAGTAAATTTAAGTAGTGGCCTGTCTGCACATTTTAAATGATTTATATTGACGAGTATTATGCTCAAGTGTGCATGAAGTCTGAAAGTTAACATTCGTGAAATTTGTGAAAAAGGTAATTAAAAAAAACTAGGTAATAAAATTCTGTTAAGTCATATGTTAAGCAATAAATACTGCTTATGTTTTGAACAGTCACTAGCAATGAAGTTCAGAATTGCATTTATCTTGAATTTATCCTATGATGATGTTGACACTGAAACTCGAGCCCAATAACCAGTACATCATATGTGAGTTATTCACATGATCACTCGATCACATTGTATGTGAATTTAGGAGTTTTAAAAGTTTAGATTTTTGCTTTGTTGATAGTCAAAAGAGATTTTAACCAGTCATTATTAGTACATAGAGTTCTTTATTTGATATCGAGACATTTTCTGTAGTTACAAGTAGAAAATAATTGTCGAATTTGTTAGCTCTTATCACAACTTAATAGTCGAGTAAATGGCACTCTAAAGCTTAAAACGTTCCATACTAAATTTTAGTCTGTGTCATTATTAAAAATGGAATGCAGACGCAGTCAAATAACAAGCCTCAAAAAAGACGAAATACGTGTCACAAATTCCACCAATAAGCACTCTCCAAGGGAAAAGCCAGTGTTCATCATTGCACATTTGTGACCATGTAGACTACTTATTCAAATGATAAGTAAAAACATCAATAGAATAGTTATAATTTAAATAAATTTACTATTGACATGATACTTGAAGTTTATTTTGTGGGCTGAAAGAGTGGGAATTTTCAATCATTTATTATTGATGTGAAAACCTCAGATAAGAAAGTCCGTAAATTCGTGGGTTAAGTTTTCTAGTCTGATTGTTCACAGCTTTTCTTAAACAAGCTAACAAAACCACTTACTATTATATATCGTAATGGCTTAATGTACTTAACGTATATTGTAGATATTTTGGTTCATACAAATTTATCATTCCGCCAGTTCGACTTACCTGAATAATCATAAAATATTTCAGCTTCTATTTACGGACCTGTTGAATGTTAATTTTAGTAATCATTTGGATATCAGATAACCAACAGAGCAGGTTCAAAATAAAACTGGAACCAGACCCTTGCAATCTATAAGACGCCCTGATGATGCAAGTTATTAAGGTGACTTCACTATCTATCAGCTTGGAAATCTTCAGATAAGTGAAATGATGCCGTCACAGTTAACAATTACGTGAGGAATTGTCCCGAAGACCGAAACATGGATAGCAGACTTCCTATCAACATAGCGTCTCAGATTATCACAAAACATTCAGTAAACACTTTATTTAGTAATGACATAAAAACTAATAGATGAGCATAAATTAACAAAAGCATAGCTAAGAGAATGCAATATCAGCCTTTGGTATACTTAAAACAGCCACTTACAGTAGATAAATTGAAAGCTTGAGATTAAAACTGAAAAAAATTGATGGCTACAAGGATGATTGAAAACCTCAAGGAAACATTCAGGGTAAATTTCGTAAAAAATAACAAGACTTCTGGATAGACTAGTGGGTTCAACCATAAGCTGGGACCAGTGAAAACCTTGAACTCAACCAGGACTATATATACTTTTTCATACTTTCCTAGAACACATTTATTCGGAAGATTCCCAGGTTGAGGTAGGATCTGTCTGATGTGAATGAGAATCGATTCAAATCTAACCAAAGTTTACATCTGTAAATATATATTTATAAATTGAAGATTCTTATGCAGCAAAATCCGAAAGTACTGATATCAAACTCGTCAAAACGTAATGCTAGAAAAATGTATATGAACTTAAAAGATAGTTGGTAAGGGTGATACTAGTTGGAAAGAAAGACTAATTATTCGCACACAGAGATAAACGGGAATAAGGATGCTTCATTGGGTATCGAGATGATGAAAGATGGTATCCCACAAAACAGAGTAGATTTTTAACCGTGTGCTTACAGTTAATAATTTTCATTAGAACTAACGATGTTTGTACTAATATTAAATACCTGATGAGTTGTTTATTTACCGCTACAGTATTCAGATAAGTAATTGATGTGCCAAACGTTTCGTCCACCAATCTCATTTTAATATGAATTATTAGAACTTCTATATTCTTATTTAAACTTGACTTTTGATCGATGTGACTAGGTGTAATTACTTTTCAAAGGAAACTTTCTATTGATTTGAATATATATACTTTATAATGGCATATATTCTGTTGAGGTTTCAATGAGTTTTAAAACATTAGGATATAAGTAGATTTTTCTAATAAGACACAGATGAAATAAAACAAAATCTTATTTCGTTCGCTAGTTTCAATTAATTACTTTTATAAAACGATCAATTTTCGATAGTTGAAACATTTCGTATGTTGATGTTATATTGTATTTTACTTAACTGATAAGTGATCGAATATATTTTCAGAAAAAAAATCACCCGATTTGTCTGATCGTAATTTAAGTGATATTATTCCTACAACTTATAAAGTATACAAAATCGATTTAAACGTTTCGTAAATTACTAGTCATTATGATTTATTTAACTTTTCATTCTAATATTTCATTAAACTTATACATATGAGCAGAAATCACAGTAGTTTAATGAATTATAAATAATATAATAATAAGATGTGTCACTTTGAGTAATATTCACAAAACTGTTATTCAGTATTGTATTTATTAACAAAATCTAATAGCTACTTTCAGATCACCATATTAGAAACCAAAATATGTTATTGTGGTGGTTATTGAATCTTATGATAATTATTCCTGGAATCGATATGCTACCTTACCGGACAGACAACAAGTATGTAAACAACTTCCAAGATTATGACAGCAACAACAACAACCTTGATGGGTATTGGGATGAGATAACACCCAATTCTCAAATGGACAATATGAGAAATAAATATAAGACAAACAACTTACAATACTTATATACAGCGCCAGATTATTCTAGTTCGGTTGTGGCCAGTTCTTTCAAACCAATGAATGAAGATATAGTACAACAAAGTCAACAGAGAGTACCGTATAATGTGGGTGAAATGGAAGAAATGGATGGAGCGGATACACTAAAAAGTCCGTCTGATGATGATAGTGAAGACAAATATCGCCGCTTAGATTCATTAGAGAAAATCTCCGTATACTATTAATGTGTTGTAATTATGTTGAAATATCTTGTGAACAAAATTCTATAGAAATCATTGTTTCTTTTGAGTGCATTACTTGTCTAAGCAACAGAGACATCCAGGATGATAAGCAGCACTTACTGGAAGCTTTTAAACATATATATATATATATATATATATATATATATATATATATATATATATATATATATATATATATATATATATGAGCAATAAGGACCGTTATTTTAATGTGATTCGCATTCGGCGATAGGATATTCATGAATAACGGAAATAATGATCCGCATGTCATAGCATATAGTTTGCTAATCAGGCTATTCCTTATTTGTGTTAATTTGAATACCTTAAGTATGTAGTGCGTTTTGACAGATTGATTGCGTAATAGCATTTAAGAGATATTTTCGTTGATATTTCAAACACAAGCATTTTCTGTAAGAAAATGGTCTATACTGACAGTTGAGAATACAAGGATTCAGTGCATAATTTAATCATGCTCCTATTCTAAACCACTTTAGTTATCTGGATGAATATAAATGTTAGAAAATAAGGTTATCCTGATTACATATCAGAATCATTTGTTTACATAAGTCACTATGTTTATAAATACCGACCTCATTGTGTTCGTAATTGTTATGGAGCCTAAATTAAGTAATAAGAAATCGTAAATCTAGCATAAGTTTTTGAATTATATCAGATACAAGATGTTTTTGTTTATCCCCCACTTTGAATAGTTTAAATAGTGAGGTTGATCTGAGATCTTGTGACTACTCGTTTTTCATCAACGAATGTTATAGTGGTTAGAAAATCGATTGTAAATGGTTGATGGTCACGAAGTAGATAGTGAATAGGATACTAATGAGTATACACAAACTCGAGGAAAAAGTGATCAAATAGTAGATTAATTTATAAACGCGTTCCGAAAAATTGTCTCACTCAAACATACTCTAGCTCACAACCGTTTTGAAATTAATTATAAAATTGTGTAATGGATAAATTTAGAATCATGATTACCTCCAAACTATTGCCAGTTGGGATAAGTTTCACATGTACAGTTACATCTCTCAAAATCCTCAGTAAAACACATGCTCTAACGTCTAGAAATATCTAACTGTATTGTAAAAATGACAGTGAGCTATTTTATCTCCTTTGTATGCTTATTCACAGAATATAAATTCTGGCAAAAAGAGTAACTTGAAATACGCACAAAAGAATTGATGTCGTGAAAAGATAAGATGACACTTGCAAAGCATGAACAAGCCACCGTAGTTGGTGCTGCAAGATGATCATATTGGTTGAATTATTCGCTGAGCACCAAGACGCACCTGTCCATTAGCACTGCCAACATCAGGTTACGGTAGGATGTGACCAATACATCGGAGACAACGACGACCGAATACAGACCTCGAGCATCCACAGCTTGGAAAGTTTAGGTTTTAAAAGTGCAGAAAAGAAAACTTCTTAGAGATCCTTGGTAAACATGGCATTTAATAGTCAGGATAACATCCTGATGGCCGAGACTGCCATCAACTACTCTGGCTTTTATCATACTTAGACTGATCATATCTAACAAGCCATTACCAGTACTCATACAACTACCTAGTGACAATTTTTGACTATTTCCAAAGGCTTATTACAAAGAACTAAAGCTGGGACATGTTTCTGCAAACATACTTGTATTTTGAGGGTGAAAGCTGCATCCTATGATTACAGCACTAATCCCCAACAGCCTTTGTTATATTTCTCTTATTGCAATCCAGCTGTTCCTATTACTTAGTACTCTTGGACACCAATTCACTCGACAAGTCCCCAAATTGGAACACGGTCCCGCTAACAGCCTTCAAGATATTAACAAACTTACTAAACCAACTCTTTTTCGATAGGGAGTCTAAGGGCACAATCGTTCCCAACAAATAGGATAGGGTGCTAAAATCAGGGAACACGACGGTTGTTAGCATCTAGTATGCATGGTAATGTCCTAGGATTTGTTGGAGAATGAGGATAAGATTAGTGAATCGATAAAATGGAATAGAACCTGTCTTTTTTAGTGAATTTGTTTGTCACAAGTTTTGAATTCATGAAGTGTTAGAAATTCAATAGTTTAAAGGCAATATGTAGCAGATTAACCCATACAATTTTTGCATAACTGATTTCGCCCCATTTAAAAATTGCGAACGACAGTCACATGATTCCCAGATAATTAAGCAATCCCTACATATCAAATCTGCGAACAATTCGGCTATTTGTCTGACAAAAGGTTACCTGCATACTGAACATTTCAGAAGTTAGAATATTTACTCACTTTCACTCAATGTGACGCCTATGTGATTGTGAGATAGTGGAAGAATGTCGACAATTTTATTGACAACGCCTTCGATAACACAAAGTTCATATTGAAAAAAGAATTAAGTAACAAACTATTATACTTGAATGTGCTGAACACTAGAATCAATACTGCGAAACTAGGGACTAAAGCGTACTGAAAACCAAACGACACAGAAATTGTTAACTAAAATAGCAACAACTCACAAAATCAATTGTACGAAAACTTTATACAAAAGAGTGAAGATACACTGAAGGATATCAGAAAGTTCGACCTGATTGAGGTCAGTAGTAATGTGTCAATCATAAGCAGTAACATCTCTTCAACGGATTTCGTGCAGAGACAGAATAACAAAAGAATGTAAGCCGGATACTATCCGTAAAAACATTACAGACGTTAAAGCGCCAATATCAATATACATTGGTAACTGTGGACATATATTCTACTGGAAAAACTTCAAAATATTGGACAGAGAAAACCGAATGATCTACAGAAGCTCAGCACCTAGATCAGTCAGTAATCAATAAGCTTGGTGAAATAAACTCAATTTACCAACCAATTTGAAAAATCATAAAAAATCATAAGGGCGAAGAGTAGGACAACCAAAATAGATGTCTAAACAATGGCAGAACAAACGTCAACAACCATTTACTCAACTTTAAGATTGATGGAACAAATTGCTAGCCATTTATGGAGAAATTCTCATGGCTCACTTCTCTCTTAAATGTCTGGGAAAGACAATGAAAACCTAACGAGTAAACCATCCAGCTCAGAAAATTTTATTTCAAAAAAATCCGTAGGACTATAAAAATGCACTGTGCGAGTTCGAGGTTACGAACCAGCGTTGTTTCAATGACGCTAGGGTTCTTGATACCAATGTCTTGAATAAATTGAAGTAACTCCCAGCAGCAGGAGAGGCGTAAATGCTGCTTCCAACTAGATAGAATCCTTCGACTAACAGGTTTCACAGTCATTACGAAAGTTTTGGGGAGTCCTATGAGTTATTTATAGAAACAAACTCACGGTTTGCTGAAGTAAACCACCAAAGCTCATGGAGTTGAGGGAGCCCTCAGAGATCCAGCTGGCATAAGTGGGACGCTTAGTGAAGTTGTGGGTGGTCTTAATCCTCACTTTTATGGAGACATAAATTCAGCGTTCATCTGCACCTTCCAGTTGGCTATCAACCTTGCTCGGACTTATATTTGAATGTAGTGGATGGTGTAGTCAGTTTACTTTTGTCAGTTCTTTTAGAAAAGTAAATTTCTTTACGACCAAAATATAAAATAAATTTGGCCGATACCAAAGCATCATCAGAACCCTGATAGATACTCGAAAAGAAACGCCAGTCCTGAATATAACCAAGCCACTAACAGCAAATAGGAATGTAATCACAATTGATTGATCACTGGGTAGTGATCAATGTCATGCTTGTCTAGTCCTTATTAGTGCAGATCGAATGCTATTACATCTCAGTCCTACAGGAGGTTAGTCACGGCTCGGATAGCTCAGTGGTAACGTCTCTGACTGTGAAGCTGAGTGACACGAGATCGAATCCGCCAGGGAGCACCAGTTCCCTCAAGATTACAGGTACACCTTGCTGACGAGTGCCAAGTAGCACGAAACCCGGGTCCAGGGTTTCCTGTTGACTACCTCCAACCACCATCTAATCTCATTACATAGGAATGTAATCAATTTTAGTGCAGGCTTGTATAGCAGAGGGAGGATGATATGTAGGAGACAAGTAATGATTATGTCGGAAGTTGGTGCTGATCAGAAAAGGGTAGTCATCTGCACGAAATCCCAGGCCTTACCCATGATTCAGCTTGCGGATAACGAACCTCTATTTGTTACCCAAACGACTCTGTGCTTAGACAACTGACCTATGTATTTAAGTCCCCAGTTAGCACATTATCTGTCGGATCCCACTGATGGAGCCTTTTAAACCAACAGCATGCAATTCACTGTTAATAAGTATCCAAACGATTGGTATGATATATGCTTTAACGCATAGTGTAACACAGGACATTGGTTTTAAAATATTTTCAAGACTTTTATTGACTCGGGTGATTAGAAATGAGATAGATTCCTTAAAATGTCAGTTGCGAAGTTGTACATCAAATTTCTAGAAGAAGGAACCATTTTATTCCTGAGATATCAAGCATCATGTAGAAAATATGGGGAATTCCTGAAGTGTCTTGAAGTTTGAACCAAGTATATTCAAATGTATTTCGACAATGTTTGCACTACCCAGCTATAAATTTCTTAGAATTACGGAAATGATTTCTTTTCGATTTGGAGCTTGTCAATACATGAAATTCGTTATCGCGGTTGTTTGACAAACTGTCACTAATGATCGATAAGTTTGTACGAACTTTTTCAATCAGATAACTAATCGTGATGCGGTAGAGGTCGTAAAAAACATATCAATTCAACTAACATATGGGCAATTTGAGCACAACGAATATAAAATAATAAATCGTTCAATTGATGGACGAATTATCGTGATAAAGTAATATACTGTAATCTAGATAGTCAATTAACATCACACATAGATTACCTATTTATCACCTGTAGGTCAATTATCTAACGCCCGACTTCATACGATTCATCCAGTCTAGATCCTAGTTTTATCAGGACATATCATGGACAGTTTCATGTAACCGGATTTGAGCCATGCCTCATATATGGAAGAACTCGTGATACTAATCAGATGCTGAAACAGAAATTGATAAGTCTGGTTCGGCATCTGTTAGATAAAGATAGAAAGTTAATTACCTTAACAACCAAGTCATTGCACGTCAGAAACTACATATTATACACATAAATTCATGAGAAAACTGCCTTATTTCTTAAACCCATATGCTTGATCACTCCAAACTTATCAACCTCAGTGGTAGTAACCAGTTAGTTTAAAATATTAAAGACGGTGCTTTGGAGAGAACTTTGTTTATTGACTAAGTTCAGTGTTGTTAGGAAGTAAAGGAAACCCTAATTATTTACTACTATTCTAATGAATAAATGTTGTTGTCTATCAAAAACGCTGGTATTTAGCGATATGGAAGAGTATCCGAGTATATACAATTATAAGCAAATGAGTTATTTCCTAACATTTAGCTAAAGAAAAACTACTAGTACTCTAAGCTACTGCCACTTCTTTGAACATCTGATCGATTACCATTGCACAAAATACAAACAGAAGTTCGTAAATTTTGTTTCATGAGAAAAATATCAAATCGGCTTGGAAACAAAGTATGATATGAAAAATGGAGCTATTATGACATAATACGAGTAAGAAAACTAGAAGTTGAATGGATTCAGGCAATCAATCTAAAGCATGAACAATCAAGTATTCAATATTCTCTACCAATGAATATTTCAACTCTCTATTGTGGAATAATAAGCAAATAGGCATAAAGTAAAACAAAACAAGAACAATGCTAAATTGCTGTGTTTTTACCCTTTTTTTCTTACAAATATATCTGTGTTCATGTTGTAGCTACAATTATTTTTAAAAAAGATCTTTGAAACATTCAGCAATATAGTGAGTGAATAAATTAATTCAGAAAATGTAAAAGCGAACAGAAATAAATACTTGATTGGTTATTTGTTTACTAGTTTCTAATATTAAAACACAGAGTTAACGAGTGTATTAGACGAATAAGTTGAAATAACAAACAAAACCTTGATATTCAAGATTGTATGGTATCAACATAATAAATAGACATGTATGTGTATATAATAGGAGGAAACTTCATAAATGTACGTATACATATGAACGATATATGTAATATTTTATAGATTATAGCACTTTTTCACAACGGGATTATTTGAAGAAAGGTTATTAAGATACATTAGGATGTGATCAAAAATCTTGTAATTTTCTCTTGACAGATCAATTCAAATTGTCAGGTGGTGTGAAACCCATAGATTGAGAGTTCGCATCTGTCGGAGGTTCGTCAATTTCTAATTTCATGTCTATAATAGGTGAGAGTAAATAGTAATAGATGATAATGACTGTTGAATTTCTGGTATTTTTATTGGCGATTTATTGAACTGAACTGTTTAGCTAATATTGGAATATTGAGTATATACCTAAATGTTGTCATTTATGGCGTGTTACGTCCAATGCGGATAGGTATTCCCACTGGGATTCAAATTCACTACTCATCGTTCTAAACGCTAAGATAGTGAGTTATAATAACTACATTTTTGTCAAAGAGTAGTTGTTATTAAAGGATTCATGTCAATAATTTGAAAAACACAGTCACTTATCCCATAATGACTATAGTAATTATGATCATTTGCTTATGCCATAACCTGTGGAGAAAAGGATTCTATTTTCTTGGTCATTCGGATTGAAGGGATTCTACTCATTTGAAAAAGTAATATCATCACAAAGTAATAGGAGCCAAACAAAAACTAAATGTAATAAGGAATTATGCGTTGGCTGTTACCTATAGGTTACTGGATAACTCCAGGTACGGATGTAACTTGGATATCTGTCAAATGTATGGATACCAATAAGATTGTTCGACTGTTCACTCTTAGAGTAGGCGTGTAATGGTTGATTATCCATGATTGTGTGGACATCTGTGTTGAAAATAGTTAACTTTGACTAGAGGCGAACGTAGACGACATATAATCGTCATTTAGTGAAGTATAGTTTTATGTTCTTGCACACAATTGTTAACAATTTTTATCAAGCGATAGTCCAGAACTAACGGAGGAAAGAAAAATGTCTAACATAGCTAGTTTCATGAAGTATAAGGTGCACACACCCTTTAACTGATAACAAAGATTTCTCAACATATATGTACTTGTGAACCACTGTTTACAAATTCAATCCTCAAAAATCATACACGGAAAAACTTACATGGTCGTAGGTTTTCCTCATCAACTTTACTAATACTAGGAGAGTCATCACCTTCCTCAAGATGACCATGTGTACGGGAATGAATAGAAGAAAAATCACCAGGACTGTTGGATGCACTATTTGTTTCGTGAAGATATGTAGGTTTAGCGTTTAAACGACTAGTAAAAGTGTTTATACGCGAATTAAGAGCTTGAAAAAGACGGTCAGCTTCTTTATGTGAATGCATAACAAGTAGATAAGCACAAAATTCTGGTTTTGTAACAACTGAATCTATAGAACATGAAGGCTATGCAGACAAAAGGAAAAGCAAACATGGTCAACTACGTGAATAGATGTAATACGTTAGTACGATTAAACACAAAAAAAATGTTTTCCATAATAGCGGTTCCTTACAACTTACAGTTATGATAGTGGTCCAACGGTCTAGGACATATCCACATTGTAATTATGTCCTGTTTATAGAAGCTGATCGATAAGATAAACAAAGATATTATGATTGTTATACAGTGTAAGTTCATGTAGTAATACAATATAAGCTACACCTATTGAATATAACTACTTGGCTGTCTGAAGTGTCCTTCAAACCTAGTGAATGATTCTAACAATCAAACTAATAATCTAAAACCTCCAAGTGAAATTACTATTAGTATATAAAAATATACAGTTACAATTCTATTAAACGATTCATAATTACCAAACAAGATTTAACCAATATGCAATTTCTTCAATGTACGGTTGGGTTGAGTTCATTTTGTATTAGCAATAGTATAAAATGTCATCAGTAAAGCTTAAGGAACACGCTTTCTGCTGACAATTATCATTAAGTATTCTTAACATTACAACAATTTGAAAAAACATAGTTTAATCATGAAGGTTGTATTGCTGCTAGTAATATTTATACAGTCCTTTGGAAACTTGACAGTCTAATCACGAAGTTTAAACCAATCGTAGTCGTCGGGATCTAGGAAACTGTGTATCGTTAGTACTGTCATACCAGTATCTGAGTCCTGTTTTGTGGGACACATTGTATGATATGCATATTCAATTCTGATTCCTTTCAAATGAAGTTGCAACTATATTAGTTATTAGGAAAACATCAATGACAAATCAGAAGCTATTAATCAAAAGCATACATTTTCTTAAATGAAGAGATTCAACTAGACTAATGTATCAGTTAATAAGTTGAAACTTCTTTAAAAAAAACTTCACGAACAACGGATTCAATCTTAGTACCATGTACCAGTTTAACCCAGAACAACCATATTGTTACCACTATACAATCCTATCTTTGAAATTAAAACATTATGAGTATGATTTACAGATAATTGAATAAGAATATGCTTTAATATAAGATGATATATAGTGAATTGCGATCCCCAGTAATTGGAATGGCAACTGTACGTAAGTTATCACTGAAATGTAGTCTCTTTCAAAAATTTCCTATTATTGAAATTAGGGGCTCTATCTGTTTATTTAATGCATAAACACTGATACAATGAGGCACTAAATATATATGCGCGACACTTTGTTATTTGATTTGTGTGAAGGCTGGACTACTGCCCGGGCGCCCGAACCGAAGCGGGTGATTTTCTTAGGGGGGCCACTCCTCGAGCCTTTGACCCACAGGTTCAATCCACAAGGCAGTGGAGCAACGCCAGGAATTCAGGTTTTACTCAGTGGTTGGAGATGATCGTCGCTTTTTAGGAAAAGAAATAAAAGACAATATACGACTAGCGATGTTTATCACAAACATAACTTCTGTTAAATGACAGATGGCACAGAAACTAGATTAAGTCAAATAGTCAACACGATGAGGGTCAATTTATTCGGTGTATTGTCACTGATATACAAGATTAGGAAAGAATGTATTACAACTTATCCAAAGACAGTGTACATGAATAGAATGATTGGAGGTACATATTAAGAAATGCTAATCAAATCGGTTCAATCACTGGTAACTGATATGGATATTAGTATATGTAATTAGAAGATGAAATTGAGCAAGGCACTAGCTCACCTTATTTTGAGAATCATTCAAAGTTTCTGACGGATGACAGACTGTAGTCAGACGAATAGAGCGTTCATCAGCCATAGCAACGTTCAGACCGGACCAGATAGGAACATTGGCTAAAAGTTTCAAAGTTTGGCACGTGCGGATTACTAAACGAGACCGTGCAGGCGGCCCAGACGGAAAGGGGGAGACTTGACTAGGTAACGATGAAGATTTCATTGCAACATCATTCAAGTGAATGTAAGCTTGTCCACGACCGGCCCACTCATGTTTGTGACGATCAAAACAATAAAAATGACAGTAAGCCTTCAGAGTAAGGTATTCTCCTTCTTCCCCAGTGAGAATAGGAGATTCTGGAAGATTAGCTAAGAGATAGGTCGACTTTTCGAGCATCTCGGAAGTTACTGCAGCGGCAGATTCTTCTAATGTTCGCTTACTAGGAAGAACAGTACAATGCTCACCAGTCTCAGAAGCATCTATACTCTCTTCTTTTTCTGGAGATAAACTGTGGTCGTTTGACTCTGAAGACTCGACTGGAAGATCCTTGCCACAGATATCACGGTTAACGACTGTAGATAAAGAAGCATTTGTGACGCGTTCCGAAACGTTATGGCCGAATATGAAATCGGCACATTGATTACTTGAAACCGAACTGATAGGCATATTCTGAGAATTTACACCCGATGACAATTTCGGGGGTTCATTTACTTTGTTATTACATGGAAGTGTAGAAGATTCAGAACTACCAGATGGACTGCTTTCACAGAGACGTTTAACAACGTTATCCAACGGTGAATTTCGAAACTGTAGTTCTCCCACATGACAAGAGTGATTTGGGGTCGATGAATTATTGGACGAATCTTTACAAACTGGAGTGAATACCGATGGTCTAAATATGTTAGTCTTTGGAAATACAACCACACTTGGTGTAGGTGAAAGGACATTAGTATTGGCTATTTTCGGGGGTACATGGAGTGAGCAATCTACATCTGCTTTGGCTTGAATTTCTAACTGACGCTTACAACCAGTCACCTTATCTTTGTTTGAAGCAGGTGCTATGTCATGACAAATTTCATACGGGAGAGTAGTAGCGTTTGACTTTCTAAAACTTATCATTTCAAATATTTTGGAAGCCGACTCATCCGGTGGAAATCCAAAAAGATAATTTTTGATATGTCCTTCCTCATTAATTGCACCTATCCTCAAAGTTCGTGAGTCAACTATAGCGGCAGGCATTTGAGACCAAATAAGAGTATTAATCAACAATCTGCGTGTAGACACTAAACGCACTACTATCCGGGACCTGCAGAAAGCATTGGTATTCCCTTGCACACTGTCGTTGGGAATATCATTTAAATGGAAATGAACAGCCCCAATATTATTCCACTTCTGCTTATTAGCATCGAAAATATGAGCTCGGCAGTGTTGTCGAATGATTGGAATCTCCCCTTCTTCACCAGTGACTAGGTCGACTTCTGCTAACGTTAATGTTTCCTTCCGCTTGTCCTCAGCTACTTCCTTTGCGGAATCTTCCAGATTTTTCGAATCCTTAAAGTTTGCTTGAGAAGCAGTAACTGCTTTAGCCAGTGTGGTAAAAACACACGAGGCGGAATCATGACTTGTAGATGTTGATGTCCATAAATTAACCGAGGCACCTTTTGACACATCAGCATTCACAACGCGTGACGAAATATTTGACCCAAAAACGTAATCGGGAGGAATTTCTTTCTTAGTTACAGTAGAACTTGACAGAATGGTAGGTGACTTAGACAAATCATTTGATGTTTCAAGTGACACAGTGGGAGCTTCTGTGCAAGAAACAGAATGATTAGGTATTGAACTAGAAAAATCCTGTTCTATCGATTTAGCGTGAGGACGGTTCGTTCCATTGACGTTAATTTGAACTTCTTCCAGATCAGCGTTACTTTCCATAATGAACAAATTCAATTTCTCTACAAAAAAAGAAACGCTAAATGAATATACTCAAATTTGCGGGAAGTTTAAAATAAGCAGCCATGAGGGAAAATTATCTGACATATTTGACAGGACAATATCATTTGGGGATTTCATATAGAAGACTAAAAACATGTCAGTTTTTAAGCTGACTAAACCCTGTCGTATATGACCTAAGAACACTGGTTGAAATTATCCTATTTTTAAACCTTACCGAATTTTAAGTCATTATTCCGGCAACCAAGGGATTAAGCATCTGCATGATACATCTTTAATTTCTAGCCATTAAAAAGTATTCATTGTGACAATCGTAAACGCTAAACGTCTTCAGTCTGTTTAACCTTTGATGTATCAAAATAAATCACATACACTAAGAAGTTGAAAAAATACGAGATAAAATAGTTGGTGGATGGGGATGCATAATACATATCCCAACCATCTTAGTAGATAAAGATCCACTACTTCCTCATTTGGTTTGTTATATTAACTTAGTACTATGCATCTAACCTCAGAACTGCTAGCTTAATGGTCCCAACGTAAAGGAGCATTGCTTTAAACCGATTATGCTTTCTGAATTTATGCCGAGAGTTCGTCAAACAAAGGCCTATCAAGACTGAAGAGATTTCTAAAATAAGTGGGCCGGTCGACCCACTCAACTACTTCACTTCCTATCATTGGTTTAGGTGTCAGTGCGAATCTATCTTGAAGTGATATTGTGCGTTTAGATGGAGAGAAACGCATCCCAGACATCTTTGCACTCTTGTCCAAGGCTACCAGAAAACTATAGATCTTGCCGATATTTTCAGGAAACAGAGCTATATCATGTTTAGTTTAAGTTCAAAACAGAATCTCCTGATAAATCAATTTCTGGTAGATTAAATGAGGAAAGTGTTATCTCCCAAAATATGTCTATGACAGTCAAATGAAAATAAGAAATATGGAAAATCTTTACGAACGCCACTGAATGTTAGCACTTCTAATGACTGTTTGTCATAAGCTCCGATTCAAATAGTAGTATTCAAATACAAAGTCTGCACAAGGCTGCTTTTAATTGTCGGGAACTCGCATAAAATATTTCGGCCAACAGAACCGAATGCTGCGTTAAGGTTGAGAAATAGAACTGTGACTAGGAGTCGGTAGGTATGTCTGTGTTCCAGAACTTAATGAGGAGCAAATATTTGGTAAACGCAACGACTCCAAATGCTAAGACTAGAGCTCTATCATTTCCTAGACTATTACATCTGAACCTGCTGCTTTATCCCACTTTAGATAAATCACAGATTCTCAACTTTATTACTACTCAGAGGACTTGTGTTGACATTCCACTGAAGTTGCTTGGTAGCAGTTAAAAACCAGTTAACATGTTCTTCAAAATCTTTAACACATCTTTTAGTTTGTTGGGTTGAGAGTGGATTACTGTTTCACTCTTTTAGGAAGTCTCACCAACTTCCGAATTTCAATTTATATTGTAATAAGCTTGAAAAGATCGCTATCGCCTATCTCGTAAATTTAAGACAGAAGTCTGGCTAAACGGTTGTTACAATGGCTGAGGTCTTTGGTATAACTACTAATAGGCACAATCCATCAAAATAGTGTAGGCCACGATCTAAAGTGAAGGTCACGGAAAGCTCTAACTACTTTTGGTCAGCCAACATACTTGAGAATCTAAATGTCTGAAAATCAAATGAAACAGAATAATATGTTGATCAAATGAATATCACTGAAACATTGCTGTACAAATATATGGCTGCCAGAGACAAATAAAAGCATCAATTAAAGTATTGGGATGGTAGGTATAACGATCCCTTAGAAACATCTAACTGGTATACCTGATCGTAAACTGACAGACTGGTAACTATGCAACTTAACTGTTATTTCTATGAATATCCCAATAAAGTGGAGACAGCTATTGTTATCGACAGGGCTTCAGTGAGGCGAAGTTAAGACTAGAAATTTTAAATATTAGTAAATTAAATTGGGACTTTAACTAAACGGCCTAGAGGTTAAATACTCGCACGTAAGACCAGAGGTCGTCAGTTTCATTCCTGGTGGAAAGTTTGAGAGATTTAGCTTGCTAGACACTGATGAGACCAGGTAATAATATCAGAAAGCCATAAATGTTTGTGCCTTTGCCCTATGTAAGTCTGACAGTATGAAAAATATTCGTTAAGGATTCAATAGAATACCCATAACGCTTATACTCGTATACAAATCGAAGAAAAAATAAATGGTGCAGCGTTCCGCAAATGTATATAGGTGGTAGTATGGAAACGCCAGTGGAAGATGACCACGGTAAAGGCCAGTTATTTTCAGACTACTTTAGCAATGTATATACAGCAGACACACTTCTCTTGAGCACGAATAAACCCTGTCACCCATACTCTAGATATTGTGACCCTTAAAAGAGTTGGCCATTTGTCCATTAAGTAAATTCAATGTAGGAAAATATATGGGACCCGGAGAAATCCCCATTAGGGTTCTGGAAGAACTCGCGCACTTAATAGTAAATCCTTAAATTATGTGTTTTATATCTAGCCCAGGGTAGTTTATCAAATGACTTAAAGAACTCATTGGTGAGTGCTGTCTTTAAAACAAGTACGACACAAACCTCATACGGACGAACAAGTTTCTAGTATAGAACCACAACAAAGAGCAACTAAGCCGCCAAGCAGGAGACTCCAAAAAGTTCACGACTTGTCAGCTGAGTAACAACTTTCTCAAATAATTATAGCGTGAAATTCCCTATCCTAACAGGCGACTGTAACCCTATTTGTCAACACGTTCAAACGAGTTGTATAAACTGAGACCCCCATTGCTAGGACTGAAACTAACAATCTCACTAACGCTACACTCAGACATCTGTTCTTAAACTGAAACTGATTTGTCAAATACAAGCTTATATTTCGGACTAATGGAAACGTTTGTTATGTGAGAGCCAAAGATACTACCCATATTAAGAAACAGGAGTGCGTTGTCCTAAATTTTTGATAATCGAGTGCCTTACATAGCTGGTTTTCTGCATGAAATATACGATAATGCTTGACATCAAAAATCCTTCACAAAATCCACCCAAATAAGCCTTTGTCAACAACATACTCCCTACTTTGTTTTGACGATAATGATTATCGAAGATCACTACTTGTTGTTTCTCGTTGAGTTAAATAACTGTTTTGATCGTAAATTACGCATCAGCAATACTGTTTACACTTTAATTGCATATACCCCAGTTAAAGTGATATTGCATTGAGTGTTTCGATTTTGCTTTTGTGTATTTATTGCATAGAAGCATACGTGGTCGACTTTTACTTGATTTATTTAGTCAAGGTTTGAGAATCCTTTTACATATCCTATTTTTGTCACCGTTCTAGTTGATTTTCAAGATGGCTAGATCTGCTCATAAAAGTGGACAACCATATTGCTTATTTCCCGTGGAGGAAGGGATGCAATGTGATGAGTGTAATAAGTGGTTCCATAAGATGTGCACCCGACAAAGCCCCACTGCATATAAAAGGTGTTCAAAGCCCAACTCTCATTGGCTTTGTAGTTTTTGTTGCTCGAGCAAAACTTTGCTTATCCAGGAAGCAATTAGTCTCCTGTTGTTGGCTAATAAGAAGGTTGATGAGGGCTGTACTGATAACATTGGTACTGATGGCGAAGATTGCGTTAGTGTCGTAAGTGCTATCACGGCGCAAGCCAGACATCTACCTGTGCAACCCGCAGTTAAACGTTGTCCCCCGAAACGATCAGTGAGTGACACCTCATTAGACGTTGGTGGCCATATTGCTACAGCAGCAACCGGTGACCCAGATAAAACAATTACTGTCCCGAGCTGTTCTAATATAGAAGTTTTGACTGATGGAAAATGGATGACGCGAAAACGCAGAAGAGTAGGAAAGACAGCTAAAACTAATGACCGTTTACTTGATAAGTCCTTGGTGGACTCTCAGACCAATCCGCCAAAGTCCCATAGTAAAGCTTCGTCTAACATTGTTGTGAGTCACTCGCTTGACTCCCAGGACTCTGTTAAAATAAAAACTAATCGTAAGATACCAGTAATTAAAATACAGTATCTAACGTCACGGTCGAAAGCTGTGAACACAGTTTCAAAAGAAGCCAAACCCCTCCCTAGTTTAATTATTTGGAATCTAGAGGAGTCGAAAGACGACCCTGCTAGAAGACATGCACCTGACCTGCAGTTAGTGGAGTCTGTGGCAAGGAATGTACTACCTGAAGAGGCTTCAGGGGTACATATTACAAAAGTAATACGACTTGGTAAATGGGTTGGAGGCGAGACCCAACCAAGAAGAATCCTGAAGCTGGTTCTCGGGAGTTTTGAAGAAAGAGACATATTATTGAAAAGCGCACTAAAAACTCGTGACTCAAATATCCGTATTCGACCAGATTGGCCGCTTTAGGATCGAATCAAGTGGAAGAATGCGCTTACGGATTTAAGGACTCGCAAATTAAATGGCGAAAATAACCTGAACATTAAGGGTTTTCGGGTAATCAGGTCTTGGAAGCCAATGCTTCCAAGGCCTGTATGGGTAGAACGATTGATTGCCAAAACACCTTAAGTGTGTGCTACACGAACGCTCGTAGTCTTAGAAATAAAACGTCCGAGCTAAGTCTGATGGTGGAAGAATTATGTCCCGGTATAATTGTTGTTATAGAAACTTGGTTCACAGTAGATATAGACTGTTCTTCTTTCATTGCAGGCTATATCTGTATTAGAAGTGATAGAGTTTCAAGTTGCAAAGGGGGAGATATAATATTATACGTTAGGGATCACTTTTATATACAATCAACCATATCGGAGGCTCATATCAGTGGCACATGTGAGGTTACATGTTGTAAGATTAAATCTAGAAATGGGTTAGTGACAATAGGGGGAATATACCGTAGTCCGTTTTGTCTTGCTGACGACTTTATTCTAAGACACATTTGTTCTTGGAGTATGGCAGAATGTTGTCTCATCATTGGGGACTTTAACGCACCGCATATCAACTGGATAGAGCTTACAGCTCCAGGTAGTGGTTTCGATAGCGACCTTTTATCTACCGTTATTCAGTGTGCACTTGTACAATGTATCACAAAACCGACACATATTGATTTCAATCATGATCCGTCACTGCTGGACCTCGCCCTCACCCACCACTGTGAGGATGTCTTTGATATTCAGCACCTTCCCCCACTAGTGAACAGTGATCACGTTGTAATTCACTTCAAGTTTAGGACACATGGTATACGATTCGTATCTGCTCCACCCCGTCCCAATATCTGGCGAGCTGATATTCCGGAAATCAGAAACTGTGCTATCTCGACTGATTGGTCGGTTGACGCGGATGGATTGATCGAAGATGAATGGAATAAGTTTAAGACTACATTCGAGTCTGTAACGTCGCCGTTTATCCCATGGTCAGCACGTAAGCTATCACATTGCCCTCCATGGATTAATAAGGAAACCCGGAAGCTGTTAAAGCGTAGGAAACATTTCTGGGACTTATTCTCGTTGACAGGTCATGCACCATTTAAGCATGAGTACCAAAAATTCCGTAATATCTGTAAGAAAACCATAACCAAATCCCGTACCACTTACGAACGACAGTTAGTATATGATAGCCGTACTTGTCCGAAACGATTGTTTTCGTATGTTAAACGGCGAATGAAACGTAGTGATGGTATTCCCCCGTTACTGTTACACGAAAATTCAGAATTACTAGCTGAATCAGATCGAGCAAAAGCTGAGACTTTTTCAGACTAATTTAGCGAAGTCTTCTCTACGTTTATTGTAACAAATACTTGTCCCACTCACACCGAGATACCAACCATTGAATCTGTACAGGTGACTGAGGAAACTGTCCTTCCGTTGATAACTAACCTCAAACCTGGCAAGATACCGGGCCCTGACGGGTTACATCCACGGTTGCTGTCATCTCTTGCGGACATTATTTCGAAACCGCTCGCGACGCTCTTCAACATGTCTCTTTCACTCGCTCAACTCCCTGGAGATTGGAAGGACGCTATAGTCAGTCCTATATTTAAGGACGGTCAGCGACAGATAGTATCTAACTACCGGTATGTCAGTCTAACTAGCATAGTCGTTCAGTTACTTGAAGAGATGATTCGAGTTAGATTGCTAAGCCACATAGATTTACACAATCTGTTAGCTACTGAACAACACGGATTTCGTAACAAGCGTTCATGCTTGACTAACTTGCTTATTGCGAGAGAGGATTGGACAGCAGCCCTAGATAACGGTCTGTCTGTCGATGTGATATTCATAGATTTTAGCAAAGCATTTGACAAGGTTTCACACGTAGGCCTTATGCAGAGGCTCACGAGCTTCGGAATAATAGGTACTGTACATGAGTGGATAGGAAATTTCTTATGTGACCGCAGACAGAGAGTTAGGGTCAATGGAACGCTATCCGATTGGAAGCCGGTCAAAAGTGGTGTACCCCAAGGCACCATCTTAGGCCCTCTGCTCTTCCTTCTCTACGTTAATGAGTTACCACTGTTACTTAGGTCGTCGACATTATTGTTTGCAGATGATGTAAAAATCTGGAGAACAATAAAAAGTGCGGCTGATCATGTGGATCTTCAAGCTGATTTAGACGATTTAGTTAGATGGGCTCGAGAGTGGGGCTTAGAAATTAATGCTAGGAAGAGTGTACTAATGCACGTCGGTCACGGTAATAGTTACCGTTACACTATTGAGGGTAAACCTCTTCCATGCGTTCAAGAGCATAAGGACTTAGGAGTAATATTAAGTCATGACTTAAAAACAACTACGCATTGCAAAGCAGCCGCTGTCAAAGGTTTTCGTGCGTTATGGTCACTTCGCCGAGCGTTCAAATCTTTTGACAAGGAAACGTTTCGAATTTTATATCCCATATATGTTAGACCACATTTAGAGTACTGTATCCAAGCAGCTAGCCTGTGTCTGGTAAAGGATACTAACGAAATTAGAGAAGGGTCTTTCTAGACTCCCTTACGATGAGCGCTTAAAACGCCTAAATCTTATCCCCTTGTAGTATCGTAAGACACGAGGTGACCTTATACTGGCATTTCGTATCTTTAATTATGATTTGGGTGTTAATATGTCTTATCTTTTTGCTCCCTCCAGCACTTATAA